AAACCCTACCCTGTCCTACAGGGTTGCTGTAAGTTGGAATCAACTCGACGGCAATGGATTTTGGGATATATATATATATATATATACATACTTAACGTTTTACCATAATACCTCGTGTTATTAAAAGTTCTCGATAAACACCCCTTTCAATATCCACGTATTACAACCTTGAAAAATCATATATTTCTCTTAACCATTTCTATATTACTTTCATTATTACAGGTAAAGGTGCAATGAATTTCTCTTTCTCTCATAATATATTTTGGTCTGCATTTCACATAATTCCATGGAATAGACTCCTAGAAGTAAATACCTTTAATAAACTCCTTGAACCAGAGTTTAAGGTGGAGTCACTGACTTCCTGATTTCCATGTTGTTACTATTCATAGTTTCACCCGCGCTATTCAGCCAAACTCACATTGTTTTGCTGTTCAAGGGATATGGGCAAATTTGATTTCCTTTTTTAAAAACCACTTTGTGAATTCTTCCAGGATGTTCTATCATATTCTCTAAACATTTCATTCTAAAGAAGAAAATAGTTGCCGCCAACAATAAACTATACAAAGCCCTGCCTTTCTTCTCCTTTAGGCTTATGCAGTGATCGGGTATGTGAGCACATGGTTTTGTCTCTTGGCTTGCTGATAAAAGATCATATACCCTAGGAGGTGGTACCTTGGGTAATTTTCTTTATATAGTGCACAGGTACATTCAATAATATTTGTTGAATAATGAATGTAGGAAATATAGGGAACATTAAAGCAGCCTTTTGGGCCAGAAACTATTACCCTGACAATGATTAAGGACTACTTTTAAGGCCTCTTTAGTGATGAATATGCTACATCTAGAATTAGATGTGTAGAACTTTAAAGAGTAGACCAGATGGCCGATACCACATCTAAACTTTTCTGGGTGCCTTCAGCAAATAAAGGAGTCTCTCTTTCTCTGTTCCTTGTTTACTGCTGCTTTCCCTGAGGAAAATCACATTTTTCAGGTCATCTAACAGTGATTGATCCAGTTTCATTTCGGCAACTGCAGAAACAGTTACCTCAGGAGCCCCGAGTGTATACACTGTACTTGCTGAGCACATACACAAACACTTTCAGGAAGTTTTGTGCGGGGCACGTTTGTCGTTTGCAAGCAGAACTACTGACCTAACTTGAGCAACCGCCTCCCTGAGTCTCCTCTGAGGAGACTGTGGTCCCTGTACTCCCAAAGTCTCCTGCACCGTCTTCTAAGGGGACGTTGGATCCTACATCAGTCACCCCTTTGGGTTAAGCCTGAAGGTCTCCTTTCAAAGGCAACTACCTCTATTTATGTAAAAACAGCATGGGGAGGGCAGTGTCTGACCTCTTCTCACTTCATGACGGGGAAGGATATCAGTATCAACACCCCAAGGCTGACTCCCATGAGGCGGAGGTCAGATATGCCGCCTCTCTCTGCCATCTTTACCAATTCTGAGACCAACTGTCCTTCCCATGGCACTGTCTACTTCTATGCTGTGTTTGATAATTCATTGTAATGGCCACACAGAGCTCACAGACAATACACACAATTATGGGGTTTATTAGGGAAGTAACAGGTTACAATTCAAGCTCAGGAACATTCAGGATACAGTTCTTCCATCAGGACAGCCTCTTTTCAGCTGTGCTTGCAGGCACACCTCTCCCTGGCCCTCTGCCTCTGCCCAAGGCACTCAGCTGATGTCTCCCACCACCACTTCTCTGCTATCACTTCTTGCTGTTTTTAGGGTTACAGCTCACTCTCTGTCTTCTGGGTCCAGGAGCTTCTCAGAGCAGGGATCCCAGGTCCAAAGGACACGCTCTCTGGTCTTAGCTGTTCTTCCTTGGTGGTGGTGGAATCCTCTCTTTCCCACCTCTAGGGTGGCTCACCTCAAGCCCAGAGGGATGGCAAAACTGATCAATCCCCTTGGTGGGCCACAATTACCCTATCTGCACAGTCCTGCCCAGTCACTTGGGTTGGAGTTACAAGACCATGGTTAGAAAGGCCACACGACAGTGATCCATCACACCGAATTTGGCTCAGGTAATACCTGAAGCACCATTATTATCCACTCACATTACAAGCCACATTTTTTTTTTTTTTAATTTTCCTCCTTTTGTTTATTGGCAGTTTTTTGTTGTTTTAAAAATACAGATAACACATTTGCCAATTCAACATTTTTCACACGTATAATTCAATAAAACCAATTATAGCAATCATGTTATGCAACCATCACTAATATCCATTGCCAAATTTTCTATCCCCATAAAAAAAAACTTGTTACTACCTAAACATTGATTCCCCTCTTTCCCCATTCCTCCCACCCCTGGTAACCACTATCATACTCTGATCTTTATGCATTTGTCTGTTCTAGGTATTTCATATTAGTAAGTCACATTCTTTTAAAGTCAGCTTTGCTAGTGTATTAGTCAAGGTTCTCCAGAGAAAACAGAACCTATAGGAGATATAGACAGATTAGATATATAAATATGTTTATATCTACCATCTGTTTGTCTGTGTCTATCTATCTAGAGAATTTATTTTAAGGAACTGATGCACTCAACTGGTGGCGGGGGGCGGGGGCGGTGGGGGGCAGGTCAGCAAGTCCAAAATCTGTGGGCCAAGCAGCTTTGGAAACTCTGGCAGTATTGTGTCTGAAATTAGTAGGCCAAGAGGCAGGCTGGAAACTCCAGCAGGATGTCTATTTACAGTCTCAAGGCAGAATCTTTCTCGTCTCAGGAAATCTCAGTATTTGCTCTTAACTGCTTTGAACTGATTTGATAAGGCCCATCCACATTATGGAGCCCTGGTGGTACAGTGGTTAAGAGCTACATCTGCTAATTAAAAGGTCAGCAGTTCATATCCACTAGCTGTTCTTTGGAAACCCTATGGGTCAGTTCTACTCTGCTCTGTAGGGTCACTATGAGTCAACTCGATTCCGACTCAAACCCTATGGGGCAGTTCTACTCTGTCCTGTAGGGTTGTTGTCTTAGTCATCTAGTGCTGCTGTAACAGAAATACCACAAGTGGATGGCTTTAATGAAGATAAATTTATTCTCTCACAGTCTGATAGGCTACAAGTCCAAATTCAGGGCATCGGCTCCAGGGGAAGACTTTCTTTGTTGGCTCTGGAGGAAGGTCCTTGTCGTCAATCTTCCCTTGGACTAGGAGCTTCTCTGAGCAGGAACCTTGGGTCCAAAGAGCACGCTCTGCTCCTGGTGCTGCTTTCCTGGTGGTATGAGGTCCTCAATGTCTGCTCACTTCCCTTCCCTTTTATCTCTTGTTAGATAAAAGGTGATGCAGGCCACACCCCAGGGAAACTCCCTTTACCGTGGATCAGGGATATGACCTTAGTAAGGGTGTTACAATTCCACCCTAATCCTCTTTAACATAATATAATCTTGCCTCATTAACCACAGGCAGAGATTAGGATTTATAACACATAGGAAAATTACAATCACAAAATGGAGGATAATCACACAACACTGGGAATCATGGCTTAACCAAGTTGACACATATTTTGGGGGGACACAATTCAATCCATATCAGTTGCGGTGAGTCAGAATTGACTCAACAGCAATGGGTTTGGGTTTGTTGTTTTTTTTTTTTTAATCCACATTATGGAGGGTAATCCGCTTTATTTACAGTCAATGGATTGTAAATGTTAATCACATGTAAATACCTTCACAGCAACATCTAGACTAGTGTTTGACCAAACTGGGCACCACAGCCTAGCCAAGTTGACTCATATAATTAAGCATTTCATCTAGTCAGTCACCTTGCCATTGCTCAGACAGAAATGGAATAAAAGAATACAAGACAGGAACATCTAAGGAAGTTTACATAAATTGACAGGTGAGGTGCTGCACTAGGAAGTGGGACAGGACGGAGGGGGAGCTTTGTCGCAAGCTGCAGACCAACATAGCCAGTGTCACAATGTGTATAGGATGAGCCCAGGCTACAGAGACTAGCAATTTATCACATCCAGAAACCCTTCCCCACACCCATATTGACTTGAGGGTACAGGACATCTTAACAAAGCTGAGAAGGGCTAAGGGCATTCCCTAAAGCTGAGAACAAACCCAAAGCAAACTCACTGCCGTCGAGTCGATGCCGACTCACAGCGACCCTACAGGACAGAGTACAGCTGCCCCATAGGGTTTCTAAGGCTGTAAATCTTTACAGAAGCAGACTGCCACATCTTTTTCCTGCAGAGAAGCTGGTGGACTGGAATGGCCCACCTTTTGGTTAGCAGCTGAGCCCTTAACCACTGCACCGCCAGGGCTCCTTAAAGCTGAGGAGGGCTGCTAATATTCAGCATGTAGGGAGAGGTGTATTCCTCACACCTCATTTCTTGTCAAATCACATGCCTGCTGCTGAAGTAAGTGATGATGTTCTTATTGTTAGCTGCCTTCAAGTTGGCCCCTGACTCCTGGCAGCCCCATGTACAGCAGGATCAAACCGTTGTGATCCATAGGATTTTCACTGACTGATTTTTTTAAAGTACTTCTCCAGGCCTTTCTTCCTAGTCTTTCTTAGTCTGGAAGCTCTACGGAAACCTGTTCAGCATCATAGCAACATGCAAACCATTACTGACAGATGGGTAGGGGTAGTGGCTGCGCATGAGGTGCACTGAGTGGGACTTGAACCCAGGTTTCCCACATAAAAGGCGAGGAGTCTATCACTGAACCACCACTGCCCTCATGGTAGGAGACGGGTACAGATAAATACTCCAGCTGAATTACACACATGAAGAAACCAGAAATGTAATGCTTTCGAGTGCTTGCAGAAAACTCGATCCTCTTGTCGCCAAGGAGTAAAAGTTCATTGCTAACTTCTGAATAGAGTAAAACATCTCTGAGAGAGGGTGACATTGCAGATTAGACAGTTATCAGATAGTGGCTCTCGGACAAGAACCATCCTTTCATTGGACAGCAGTTTAGTCACAGGGAGTTTCAGTTAAGGCTGGTTCTTAACTGCCCTCTTAGCAATCTTCCTCGATATTTGCTTAGCGAAGTCGACTTGCCATTCCATTGCAAAGGAAGCAGCCTGTGACTGTGTAACCATTACAGCTGTGATGATGAAATGGTGAAGAACTGCCTCTCAGTCAAACAGTGCACCCAGAGATAAGGCTGTTTCCAAAGCCTCTGCTGCTGCTGCTTCTGATCGGTGGTAACTGCTCTTCTCAGTAAGTGGGGATCAAATGGTTGAGTCACCACACAGTGAACACAACAGTTTTTTTTCTGTAACATTTACTCTAACAAGAACCTGTGTTCCACTTCCTAATAATTTCTTTACTCTGGTGGTGGAGGGGGGGAATAGGAAAAGAAATAATGATTTATAAATATATTCTTAAATAACGAAAAAGGGGAAACAAAACCCCTTATAGCTCTGTTATTAGCAGGGAGGGGACTAGTAATGGTGCTATTAAATGTGTATCAAGCAGGTGATATTGATTCTGGTGATAGCATTCTATTCTTGCATTCTGGTTAAACTAACTGAGATGTGCAAATCTGTGACAAGGTGAGTCGTATTAAAATGACATCCATAGATTTTGTTAATGCTTATATGAGATGCTTGTTTTCCACTGTTCCAGATGCTTTATAGAATTAAAATGAGATCATATACTCTGCCAAAATTTCTTGGAAAATATATGAGTTAGAAAATAGTACACAGACTATAACAAAATATCTTGGCTAGGAAGCTGCAGAGTTAATTAAGCTACAGATTAAGAAGCAACAAAAAAGGAGTTGATTGCATTGCATCAAAGTGAAGACATTCTGCTTTTCGTTTCTCCTGAGGGTTCTGGGATTTCCAAGATTGCTTTGATCTTATAGAAAATATATAAAAATTTGCTGAAATATCTCACTTGGTTTTATGTTCACAATTTTAATTATTTACCCAAAGCAAAGTAAAAAATATTTCCAATGTAGACAGAAGAAACAGAACAACAACAGCAAAAATGGAAGTAGGAAGAAAATTAAAAAAGGAAGGAAGCAAGAAAGGAAAGAAGGGAGACAGAGAGATTAGACCGAAGAAAGGAAGAAATAAAGGAAGAGAAGTAAATCAGGATATCCTGATACCACTTATACCTCTTGAGCCTAAAATTCATAAGCACGTGAAAAGTGACTATGCTTCTCTAGCCGTATGGAGTTATATCCTTGATACCTGATTTAATGAATTATCATACTGAACTTTTCATTTTCTGGTATGATTTATCTTTTGTGTGAAAGAATTGTGCCCTTTTTCACAGCTTTTAAAAAACAAATGAATCGATGTAGGTATTTGTTAAAAGTTTGCATTTCAAAACCTAATAAAATTTTGAAAATCAAAAAATCACCTCATTTGTTTACATTACTTGCAATGCTGTTTGGGGAACTTTTAAGCCAAGCCTTCAAACATATTATACCTTCTGACAAACGGACCGGGCTGTTACACGCTCACCAACCTGCCGTGCTCCTAACTTAGGTTGTCCCTTTGCTAGGTTTTACCAAACGTAGCTGGCTTTGTCAAGAATTATATACCGATTCACGTTTATTCCATACAGGGCAGCTACACTTAGCATGATAATGTGCTAGGTGCTGGGGCTGCAGACATGAGCGGGACCTGGTCCTTACCCTCTGCTACTGAGTACTGGTCAGACATAGGAGGATCGTCGGTGCACAGGTAAGCCCAGAGGTGGAGGGCATGGATGCGGGATGACAAATCACACCATGTGTAGTTAGCAGGAAGATCTTAACTATTGGGACATTTGTAGAAAACCCTTTATTCACCCATTTTTCAAATTTCCGAGACAGTGGCACTATTTCCAGCTAGCTGACAGAGTGTTTCATGTCTGTGGCAATGTTTGGAATCCTGTGTTATATTTTAGGACTATTTCAGAAAATGCATTCAAAATTCAGTAGTAGTAAGAAAACTTCAGTGTATTGTAAGTGGCCTTTATTACTCGTTTATATTTTTAGGAGTATACATAGTTTTTCATCTGGTGTAATGCTGTTTACCTAGCTAACTATGTATCTCGCATTTTACCCCTTGGTTTATTTACTTCCCATCACCTAAGAGACAGGCTTTATTGCTGATTACACTGTATAGGAAAAAAGAGGAAGTAAAAAGCAAGCTCTTTACTTTTAAGAGCAGCGGAGTGCAGAGAGTCTAACAGAGCATGAATCCTCCTACTCGCTTTTCAATTTCTGTCCACTGAGGTTTGAGTTTGGACTTAGGTGTTACCACAGCAGACTCAAAACGCCTCTGAAAGCAGGGCTGCAGATACAATTGTGGACACAAAACAAATTCCCCAGACAGAAATATAAGTTCGAAGGAAAAAAGAGGTGAAAATATTTCTATTAACGAGTCTGAACTTCAGTAGAATTTGACCAGTTCTCTGGAAAACTTGGGGAAATCCATCTCAATTGTCAAAACTTTACCCAGCTAATTTGCTAAAGATATCTGGGGTGCAAGAGAGTGTGTCTTGTCTTCTCCCAGATTTCAAAGAATATAACACCAGAAGCCACAAGGGCACTCGAGGAGTTTTTTGATTGACTTGGTGAAGCAAGTAGCTCAAGATCTCCTTTGGTAATCAAACACCATGTGTTTGCTTCACTCTGCTTAAATTGAATCTTTGTTTCACAATGGAATGGTTTGCTTCTTGATGTTAACTGTAGCTATGGGAAGAAGAGATACAGGAACACACTGTCATTTTGATAAATATTTTTTAAGTTAGTGGAAGTAGCTCTATTCTTGACTATAAAATATTTCCACTTGGCATCTATAAACGGTGTATTAATTTTGGGGTAAAAGGATGGCCCAAAGAGATTTGTTTTTCCAGCTGAGGGGATTGCTGTGCCGGGGATCACAAGTATTAAGGGGTCGTGGGCCTAGGTTAAAGGAGCCCTGGCATGGTGGTTAAGTGCTTGTCTGCTAAGCAAAAGGTCGGTGGTTTGAACCCACCATCCACTCTGTGGGAGAAAGATGTGGCAGTCTGCTTGTGTAATGATTACAGCCTTGGAAACCCTATGGGGCGTTTCTACCTGTCCTACAGGATCTCTCTGAGTCAGAATCGACTTGACAGCAGGGGGTTTGGTTTTTCGGTTTTGGGCCAAGGTTAGAGGTGTGTTCAGGAAACAGCAGAGAGCAAACACATTCATAGAAAACATAGGGTCAAATGCTAAAGTCCTAGTAATAGGCAGACTTGTATGGAATTCATCTGGCTCACAAAAAATTGTTGTTTTGTGTAATATTTAGACATGTCATTACTTTCAAACTCCTGTTTGAGTCTCTTGTGTTGTCTGTAGGACAATTTATTTACTTTCAAAGGTAGCATTTTAATTTATTTATTTAGTATTGTACTTTAGATGAAGGTTTACAAAACAAACTAGCTTCTCACTAAATAATTAGTACACATATTGTTTTGCGACCTTGGTTACCAACCCCACGACATGTCAACATTTTCCATTCTCGAATTTGGGTTCCCTATTACCAGCTTTCCTGTCCTCTCCTGCCTTCTCGTCCTTGCCCCAGGGGCACACTAAAGGGGCTGGTGTGCCCCTTTAGTCTCCTCTTGTTTTATGGGCCTGTCTAATCTTTGGCTGAAGGGTAAACCTAGGGAGTGACTTCATTACTGAGCTAAAATGGTGTCTGAGGGTCATACTCTCGAGGTTTCTCCAGTCTGTCAGGACAGTAAGTCTGGTCTTTTTTTTGTGAGTTAGAATTTTGTTCTACATTGTCTTCAGCTCTGTCCAGGACCCTCTATTGTGATCCCTGTCAGAGCAGTCAGTGGTGGTAGCCAGGTACCATCTAGTTGTGCTGGACTCAGTCTGGTGGAGGCTGTGGTGGTTGTGGTCCATTAGTCCTTTGGACTGATCTTTCCCTGTGTCTTTAGTTTTCTTCATTCTCCCTCGCTCCCGATAGGGTGAGACCAGTGCAGTTATCTTAGATGGCTGCTCACAAACTTCTAAGACCTCAGACACTAACGGTAGCACTTTTTTTAATGGAAATATTGCAGTAAGAAGTGAAAAAAAGATTAAAGCTGTTTCATGTTAAAAAATGAATAACCAAAAAACTTTTGAATGGTTAAATTTGAAAAATAATTCTATTTTCAGCAGCTATCAAATCAGAATACATGGCAAATTCTAGGGAAGAGTGCTTGGTTAAGTAAAATATGCAGTTATTCTCCCAATGAGATATTCAACAGTTTCATCATTTACTTTAACAATTTAATTGCAAATGATAAATAGATGTTCATTATTTTTACAAATATGGTTATAACATACTACTTCCTTTGCCAGTCAGTAAAAATCACTAGGAAATATCAATTTTAAATTTTTTTCTGACCTAGAATTATTCCTATTAATGAAAATTGTGCAAAGTTAGAGTATATTTCGCATATTTACTGACATCTCAAAGATACCACCTTCCTAACTTAAAGAGAAAGCTGTTTTGCTGTTGTTGCTTAAGGGTTTTTTTTATCTTTGCTTTTCAGGCTTAGTAAATCACTAATGTTGTCCCTTTAACTCATTAAAAATTTCCCTCATAGAAAATTAAAAAATATATATATTAGAGTACCTACTTTTGTTGTCATTGCTGTTGTTTTATAAATTCTTTTTCTATATAGGTGGAATCATCATAGAGAAAGAAACAAGATTATTTTTTATCAAAACTGCTATAATTCCAATCAGCAATACTTAGTTTATTTGAAAAAGGAATTGAATGATTTGTATACTGTTTCTTTCCCCAATGTTGTGGCATTTTATTAATTTCATAGTTAAGGAGTAATAATGAACTAAGAGAATTTTTTTTTCATGTTTCCCTCCAGGGTGTTTTTTTTTTTTTTAATACATATTTTTTATTGTACTTTAGATGAAGGTTTACGGAACAAATAGTTTCTCATTAAACAGTCAACACACATATTGTTTTATGACGTTGGTTAACAACCCCACGACATGTCAACACTCTGCCTTCTCGACCTTGTGAACTAAGAGTATTTCATATTATTTTCTAAAGGTATCCATTTTAGCCAGGATCTGTCTTCTGTAGTTTTACCAGAACTACATTTGGAAAATTCCAAGCCATTTTAACAGATTTTAACACTGAAAATTGTAAGTCATTTAGATTAGTACCACAGAGTTGACAGAATATAGGTTTTACTGTCAGAAGACCCGAGACTGTGTCCAAGTTCCTTTCCTTACCAGTGGTTTGATCTTTAGACAATGATTTGACCTCTCAGACTCCTTTTCTTCATTGTAAATTGGATAATAAAACTGGGTAGTAGCGGGGTAATGTACCCGTTACTGAATCATTAGAAGGAACACGAGAGACAGTAGGAAGAACTGCCTTGTAAAATTGAGAACAGCATACAAATGATGGAAGCCAGTCATATTATTTGATCTTTGAAGTTAAGTTCATGTGAAAAATGACTTTCAAAATTTGCAGAAGAAAACACCCAACATTTCTAACCTACAATTCCCAGCAAGAGATTTTCAACTCTCTTCTTTGACATGTAAAACAAGATGCAGAAACTTACCTTATGAACTCAGATGAAGACTGTGTTTTATCAGTGTTTTCACACGGCCACGTTGAGTTATTCGACATTTCTTCTCTAAATTCATTTTCATCTTCCCATTGTTTTAGGTCGGGAGTTCTATTTTCTCAAGGTCTGTATCTGTGCTTTCAATATCTTTTGTGGCCTGTTCCCATTTGGGTTCATCAAAAAATTTAGCCTCTCGCAAACTCAAAGTGTCGTTGTTAGCCACCATTGAGTTAGCCCCTGACTCATGGCAACCCCATGCACAATGGGATTGGACTGTTGCGACTCATAGGGTTTTCACTGGCTGATTTTTCAGAAGTAGATTGCCAAGTCTTTCTTCCTAGTCTGTCTTCGTCTGGGAGCTCCCCTGAAACCTGTTCAGCATCATAGGAACACGTAAGCCTCCAGTGACAGATGGCTAGTGGGGGCACATGAAATGCATTGGCCAGGAATCAAACCTGGGTCTCCCTCATGGAAGGCAAGAATTCTACCACTGAACCACCAGTGCCCCCCAAACTCAAAGTACCACAGGTTTATTCTGGGTTTGTGATACAGAGCTTCTCTTTCTCACATTACAAATTGTTTCAGATGTAAGTTTCTTGTCCTGTTGGCTCGTGTTTAAATACTCATCCATGAAAATGGTAATGTTGTTAATTTTCAATTTTATTAACTGTGCCTAATCAAAAAACACCAAACCCATTGCCATCAACTCCATTCAAACTCACAGCGACCCTATAGGACAGAGTAAAACTGCCCCACAGGGATTCCAAGGCTGTAAATGTTTTACAGAAGCAGACTGCCATGTCTTTCTCCTGTGGAGCAGGTGGTAGATTCAAACCTCCAACCTTTCAGTTAGCAGCCAAATGCTTAACCACTGCACCAGGAGGGATCCTAAAAACAAACAAACAAAAAAAAGCACGTTGCCACCCAGTCGATTGCGACTTAATGTTACTCTTCAAAGATCTGCTCTGATTGCCTGCTGAATATCAATCCTTTACCACTTAAGGAGCCCTGGGGGCTCAACTGCTACCGGAAAGGTCAGTAGTTCAAAACCACCTGCAGCTCTTCCGGAGAAAAATGTGGCAGTCCGCTTGCCTAGAGATTTACATCCTTGGAAACCCTGTGGGGTTGCTGTGAGTCAGAACCTACTCAACAGCAGTGTGTACTACTTACTTCTGGAGAAAGATCTGCGCCTGTAAAGATCACAGCCTACAAAACACTATGGCGCAGTTCTACTGCGTCACATGGGGTTGCTCTGAGTTGAAAACCTGACTTGATGGCACCTAACAACAACAACGCTATTTACTTTCCTCTCTCCTAACTTCACACACACTGTATTCCACTGGGAATGCCTTTCCCCTCTGGTGAGTGGCAAGAACTCTATTGCACCCTGGAGGAGTAGATGCAGGAGTCTTTTTGCTCCTCCTATGCCCCATCCACACCTTCATTGGAGCAGTTGCCATCCATACTCAGCTATACAGCTGTCCCTCAGTGTCCTGCGGGAGTGGTTCCAGGACCCCAGTGGATACCAAAATCCTCAAATGCGCCAGTCCCTTATATAAAAGGGCATAGTATTTGCATATAACGTATGCACATCGTTCGTATACTTTAACTCATCTCTAGATTACTTACAATACATAATACAATGTAACTTCTGTGTAAATAGCTGTTACACTGTATTGTACAGGGAATAATGACAAGGAGAAAAGGGTCCACCCAACACAAACAGTGAACTAAGGAGACTCAGACAAACAATGCTCAAACAAATGATCTGCCATTGGTTGAATCCGAGGAATCCACGGATAGGAAGGGCCGACTGTAGTTATTTATTTACATTTCACTTTGCACCTCTGGCTACGGCTCTGCATTGCAAGGGCAAAATCCATGGTTTATTCATATCTGTTTTCTAGAAATAATAGATATTTCATAAATGCTTGTTAAATGGCCAAATGACTACATGTTACATTAGAAAGTAGCTGTCAGTTTTTCTTTAAAAATGTCAACAGATGATTTGGATTTTTATCTTTCATTTCTGTAGGACATGATCATCATGGCGGCTGCATTGCTGATTCTTTTTGGGGCCACGGTGATATTGCAAGCAGACTTACTTCCTGATAAAAAATGTAAGGGGCTTTGATTCAATTCAAGGATGTCCCTTTTAAAAAAATATATTATAAAAAGGCTAGCTCTATTTTCCCCTCAATAAATCCTCAATTAAGAAATTATATATAGGTTTCTAAAAGGATAGAATATTCTTATCAGAATAAAAACTCTGTAAAAATGCTATATTTTAAGAAAGTGTATTTGAAAGAAAGGCCATTTTTATGCTGTAGTGGAAATCATATTCCAAGTGTAGGTGTATAGGCACTATGGAATGAGCTGGAGCTCATGGCCACATATGGAAGGTCTTTCCATGCAAAGGAAGGGTTAAAAGATCTTAGAACAAAGGAATAAGAAATTCCATGATTTTCTGTTCAGAAACATGTTGATCTGTGGGTTTGATGTGATGACAGAGGTTAAGAAGGGAAAACTGTCACATGGTCCCTATCTAGTGCTGTCTAATAGAACTTTCCATGATAACAGAAATGCTCGGTGTCTGCACTGCCTGTTGCTATAGCCACTAGCCATATGTGACTCTTCAGTACTTGAAATATGGCTAGTGTGACAGAGGTAACGAATATTTGATTTGATTTTAATTAAATTTAAAAAGCTGCGTGTGGCCAGTGGCTACCATGTTGAACAGTGTAGTATGGACAAAGCTCTATGTGGCAAGTGTGATAATGGAAACTAGAGTTTCACGGAAGAGTACTTATTCTTACTATGTCTGACGCAGCCTGGTATTTTCTATTCTGTTCTCTTCTATGTCATCAAAAAAATTGCTGCTCATAAGACAATAAATTACCATAGCTCATTAATGAATGACTTTCAGTTTGAAAATTACTTTTATAGTGAATAATGATATAGTAAAATGTTCATATTTCAATAAAGAATATATAGATGTTGTAGATAAACACCTGGGTGAGTTTAAAAAATGAGTTTAAAAACAATTTTATGAATCTCTTTCCAAAATTATTAATTTCAGTAGTACGCATTCTCATGTTGTTGTTAGGTGCGCCTGAGCCGATTTCCACTCATAGCGGCACCATATGACGGAGTAGAACTGCCCTATGTAGGGTTTCCTAGGTTGTGGTCACTATGAGTTGGAATTGACTCAACAGCAGTGGGTTTAGCTTGGGTTTAATCTTTTATAGGAGATCACCAGGTCTTTCTCCGGTGAAGCTAGTAGGTGGGTTTAAACCATCAACGTTTCAGTTCGCAGCTGAGCACTTAACCTGCATTCTAATAAACCAAAAAAACCAAACCCAGTGTGGCTGAGTCAATTCCAACTCATAGCGACCCTATGGGACAGCTGTAATCTTCACAGAAGCAGACTGCCACACCTTTCTCATGTGGAGCAGCTGGTGGGTTTGAACCACTGACCTTTCAGTTAGCAGCCCAGTGATTAACTGCTGCACCACCAGGGCTCCTTTACATTTTAATAGCCATAATAAAATACTATACTGCACAACAAAATATTTTTAAAGTCCTGTCTACGTACAATTGAATACTGTGTTGCTTCTTTTTTTTTTTTTAATCCACAGTTGTGCTTCTTCCACCTGTCAATTTCACCATTAAGATCACTGGTTTGGCTCAAGTTCTTTTACGCTGGGAGCCAGATCCTCATCAAGAGCAAAGGAATGTTAATCTCGGATACAGGGTGAGAATAAATGCACCACAAGAAGATGATGTAAGTGCTTATTCTAACGGCAATCCTCATTTGAAGGAAATATTCAAGTTGACTGCATTTTCATTATAAAATAACGTTTTAAGTTCTCAAAAAACAAGAAGCTACTCAAGGGCTTTTGTTATGTCCCTTTTAGAGCAGTGTCTCTGTTGAAATAGCTGTGAACTGTCGACTAGTGCCAAGCAGAGAGTTGAGCATTAAACAGCATAGAACGTTTTATCTTGGGGACAAGTCTTTCACTCAGGGTTGAAAATCTGACAGCTCTTTAGGTTCAGTGGATTAAACCTTGGTTTTAAGTTTCCTCTAAAGTAGTCAAAGGAATGGAATAGAACAACTGAGTACAATGAGAAGAGGGCAGGGTATTGTGTCAGAGAGACCTGGTTTGAATCCTGGTTCGGCCACTTCCTGCCTTTGTGACCTTGAACCAGTCACTTCTCAGAGCCTCAGGCTTACTGCAGGTTCATGTTAAAGTTCCCAGTACATAGTAGGTTCTCAACAAAGTTAAACAAAAGGAGAAGTGATTAGTATTAACCATTCTTCAGTCAGTATGGTATTCTAGAGAAATTACTGTCAAAGAAGTACCTTTGGGGAAGGGGCTGGGACTAGCGGTGGTAGTCAAAGGGGGCTTGAACCTTAATTATAAAATTTTGCTTGTTTTTTATAAGAAGAATGTATTCTTGTCTCATTGAGGAATTATTGTAATATTATTAACCTATTGTTGTCAAATTGGTTCTGACTCGTGGTGACTGCATATGTGTCAGAGTAGAACTGTGCTCCATAGTGTTTTCAGTGGCTGATTTTTCAGAAGTAGATCACCAGGCCTTTCTTCTGAGGTACCTCTAGGTAGACTCCAACCTCCAACCTTTGGTTAGCAGCCAAGCGCCTTAACTGTTCACACCACCCAGGGACTCCATATTATTCTAATAGTTTTATTATGAATTTTGTCTAGCAAAACTATTTCATTGCATTTTATTAATGTATAATTTAAGAAGTGGAAGAAAATGCATACTTGTTTAAAACAGTCCTCTCAATAAGGCTGTTTCCCGTTTATGTTTCATGACTTGTGGGTTTTATTTTTAGTATGAAACCAGGGACACTGAAAGCCAATGTGTAACGATCCTTCATAAGGGCTTTTCAGCAAGTGTGCAGACCATCTTTTGGAATGAACACTCACTGCCTGCCAGCAGCTGGGTTTCTGCAGAAATGAAAGATCCACCAGGTAAGGTAGACCTCTAAAAGTCCAATCTTATATTTTGGACTTTGCAGGTATAGGAAATTAGAAACAACTCCTTCTTCTTTTCATCAGTTCATCTCAAGTATCCTTCCCTAATACCAAAATCCTATCTTAGTTATCTAGTGCTGCTATACCAGAAACGCCACATGTGGGTGTGTCATGGATTGAATTATGTCCCCCCAAAAATGTGTGTATCAATTTGGCTGGGCCATGATTCCTTGTATTGTGTGATTTTCCTGTGTGTTGTAAATCCTGCCTCTATGATGTCAGTGAGGGAGGATGGGTGGCAGTTGTGTTAGTAAGGCAGGACTCAATCTACAAGATTGGATTGTATCCTGAGGCAATCTCTTGAGATATAAAAGAGAGAAGTGAGCAGAGAGACAGGGGGACATCATACCATCAAGAAAAAAGCACCGGGAGCAGAGCGTGTCCTTTGGACCTGAGGTTCCTGCACAGAGATGCTCCTAGTCCGGGGGAAGACTGATGATGACGAGGACATTCCTCCAGAGCTGAGAGAGAGAGAAAACCTTCCCCTGGAGCTGATGCCCTGAATTTGGACTTCTAGCCTCCTAGACTGTGAGAAAATAAATTTCTCTTTGTTAAAACTTGTGGTATTTCTGTTAGAGCAGCACTAGATGACTGAGATGGGGTGGCTTTAATAAACAGAAATTTTCTCATAGTCTAGGAGGCTAGAAGTCTGAATTCAGGGTGCTGGCTCTAGGGGAAGGCTTTCTCTGTCAGCTCTGGAGCAAAGTCCTGTTCCTCAGCGATCTTTATGTGACTTGCCATCTGTCTTCCCCAGTCTCTGGCTGCTTCTTTTTTTATAATTAAAAAAAAAAATGTATTTTGTTGTTTTTGTTGAGAATATACACAGCCAAACATACACCAAATCAACAGTTTCTACAGGTACCATTTAGTGACATTAATTACATTCTTTGAGTTGTGCAACCATTCTCACCCTTCTTTTCTTGAGTTGTTCCTCCCCCAGTAACATAAATTCATTGCCCCCTAAGGTTCCTGTCTAATATTTCCAGTTGCTGTTGTCAATTTGACCCATATAGATAGTTCTTAAAAAAGCATAATGCTCAAGGTTTTTTTTTTACCAGTTAAGATAAACTCTTGTTTGGTTTTAAGAAGACTTCAGGGGGTATTTTTGGTCTAAGGTTTAAAGATTATCTCGGGGCAATAGTTTTCAGGGGTTCATTCAGCCTTCATGGCTCCAGGAAGTCTGGAGTCCATAAGCATCTGAAATTCTGTTCTGCATTTTTCCCCTTTTGATCAGGATTCTTCTATAGAAACTTTAGGTCAAAATATTCAGTCAGGGTAGCTGGGCACCATGTAGGTTGTCTGGTCTCATGGCAAAGGAGGCAGTTGTTCACGGAGGCAATTAGCCACACATTCCATATCCTCCTCCTATACCTGACTCTCCTTCTTCCTCTGTTGCTCCAGGTGAGTAGAGACCAATTGTTGTGCCTTGGATATCTGTCTGCTTCTCTATGTCTAATCTGCTCTTTTATATCTCAAGAGATTGACTTAATACACATCCTACACTAATACTGTCTAATTATCATAAAAAGGAAAACCCATTCCCATACGGGATCACAACTAGTATAAGGGTTAGAAGGAACCCTGTAGCACAGTGGTTAAGTGAGTGCCTGCTAACCAAAAGGTCAGTGGTTCGAACCCACCAGCCGCTCAGAGAGAGAAAGATGTGACAGCTTCTGTAAAGATTACAGCCTTGGAAACCCTATAGGCCTGTTCTACTCTGTCCTATGTGGTTGTTATGAGTTGGAATTGACTCAATGGCAAGGAGTTTTGTTTAGAGGCACCTTGGAAGAAAGACCTGAGGATCTACTTCTGAAAAATTAGCCATTCGAAACCCTATGAAACACAGATCTACTCTGACATACATGGGGTCACCATGAGTGAGAGTTGATGCCAACTTGTTTCTCTATGCCAAAGGAGCTCATTCATTGACTGTGCTGCTCGTTGAGCACATACAACATTATATTGTTTATCTTTCAAAAACAAACATAGTTATACACTGCCATTCCAACCATAGTATATCCTGCTTGGGTGCAAGGGCGAGGTCTCATGCTTTACAGCATCTGTCATAGCATACTTTCGATGTAGTATGCCTTCTTGTAGTTGTTTGTGGATTTTTTTTTTTTTTTTTTGAATTCTCAGACCAAATGGAAGAAAATGTTGCTGAGAGTTCATAGAAGCTAAGAGACTGAACAACCAAATTGCCATAAGGAAAGAGGGTAACATCCCATCTCTGTATTGGTCTCCAGCAGAATGTTAGCATTTCTGATACTTGGAAACAGTGATACTTCCAATTAAACACTTGAAAACACACCCATACATGCACACAGACCCACGGAAGGAAAAGAGGAGAAGCAGGCCATCAGATCCTGATCTCGCCCATAGGTGATTTTAAAACCATTCTCTTGTCACAACTGGCTGAGGAGACCTTGCCTCCTGAATTGTATCAGCAACTGAGAACAGCATCGGAATTGCCTTCCCATTTACTCATTTATATTCGTGTTATAACGTGTTGTCTGTACCATAAAGCAGCTCGTTCACAATGACCTTAATCCCAGGTATAGAGACTCATTCAAGGTAGACACAAGATCACAAATACAGGTCAGTGTGTGCCTTTCATTAAACCAATTTATCTTCTTTCTATAGTGAATAACTGAGTTATACCTGTAATGTACTTTTCTGCATAACATGTTTGCAATTCTAATTGTTCTCTGGGCACTCCGGTACAGGTTCACACTAATGAAAAATTAATTATTTCAACCTTGAGCTAAACTGAATTAACACCAAGTAATTCTTTGGAGGGTAACTGCAAGACAATCAGACTTCAGGAACTCTAAACTGCACTTGGGCAGGGACCATCTAGTCATTTAGTGAATGGACAGGTACACACACACACACACACACACACACACACACACACTTTATATAACTGGCAGTGCATGGTAATAATACAAAGCAAATCAACTTTTAGCTGATTTTTATTCTGTCTCTAACTTCTCTGTTGACAATGCTACCCTTATCGGCTCCATCAGGGGATCCCTCCCATTACCCTCTCCCTCCTCCTCTGGCATGATTTTACAACCAACTCAACCTAAGTTAAAAAGACACCCTTCTACCTTTCAAAACCGAGTCTAATTGCTCCCACTTTGGTGTGGTCCTCCCTGACCCCCAGCTCAAAGGCTTTTCCCTCCTCTGAGCAACCACAGGCCTGTGTTTCCCACAATGTTCTGAAGGGCAAGCACTAATACGGTGACAAGGGGGGGTTGAAATGAAATCAAGGCTTTCCAGTCCAATAATCTCAGGAAATGCTGGGAGAAACAAAGTTATGTTTAAAATCTGAAGGTTTCCTTAATGTCCTAGCATATTAAAAAGGGCTTTAACATGCTAATATTCTTTGAGCCTCCAAAGGGATGGTGTTATTTTGCAGTGTTGGCAAAACAAATTTCCTTCTGAGCAGCAATCTCTGTTCTTCATGAAACATTTGGATACAACTTTACACAAGGATCATTACAGTCTAAGACAGAAAGTGGCATTGGAAACCTTCCTCGACCAATCCTCTTGTTTACAGCCGGAAAAACTGAACCCAAAGTTAGTAAAGGGTCATTGTTTCACAGCTAGTTACTGACAAATGTGTCATTGGAACACCAAGGTTGCTGGATACCAAACTTTGAGTTTTTGGGTTTTTTTTGTATGACAATACGTTGTACTGTTCTTGAACTTTTCATGTCTGAATGTCATACACAGAACCCCCTTACCCTAGAGTAGCTGGAAAGCTCTTTGAGGTCAGAAGGTGGGGCTTTGTAATTCTACCTTTGTTTCCCCAGCAAGTTGGCCCTTGACGAATAGTAGGTTTCTATCTGTAGTAGGTGATGACTGATGGTTTTTTGATGATGGCTAAGATGTTCAAAATCACTGCAGTGTCGAAAGAAGTACAAAATAAGTTCAATTTTGCTTTGTTTTTGACCATCTAGGGTCTCCTGGAACCTCAATTGCGAATTTAACTTGTACCACAAACACTGTAGAAAATAATTATGTGCACTTGAGGCGATACCAGGTGTCTCTTCGCTGCACCTGGCTTGTTGGCCAGGATGCCCCTGAGGATACACAGTATTTCCTCTACTATAGGTTTGTACCTATTTTTACTTATGCAAATGGGTTGTTTGCTCCAGCGTTATAAAACTTACGAGTGTCCCAATTTAGGTATGGCTCTTGGACTGAAGAATGCCAAGAATACAACAAAGACACACTGAAGAGGAATACTGCATGCTGGTTTCCAAGGACTTTTATCAATAGCAAAGGGCGAGACAGGCTTGTGGTGCATGTGAATGGATCAAGCAGGCATGCTGCAATCAAACCGTTTGATCAACTATTTGATCTTCATGCCATTGGTAAGATAGACTTAATTACCCAAAGTTAAAATAACTAACTCGTAGAATATCTGCATTGGTAGCGGTTATAAAGATCACCTAGTTTAACTACTTCTCTGATGCTAAGTGACCATCTAGCTCAAGCTGGGAAACCACTGGGGAGGCTTTCTCAACCTCCAACCAATCAAACCAAACCAAGCCAGTTGCTGTTGAGTTGACTCCAAATCTTAGCAACCCATGTGCTGCAGAGCAGAACTGCACTCTATAAGGTTTGTCCAACAGGCTGTTGAAAGCAGACTGCCAGGTCTTTCTTCTGAAGTGCCTCTTGTGGATTTGAACTGCCAACCTTTTGGTTAGTAGGCGTGTGCTTAGCCGTTTGCACCACGCAGGGACTCTTCTCAGTCTCAGCACTATGAATATTTTTAGCTGGATAATTCTGAGTTGTAGGGGAAAGGGGCTGTCCTGTACATTGCTGGATATTTAGCAGTATCCTTGGCCTCTATCCACTCGATGCCAGCAGCCCCCAGCTGTGACAACCAAACATGTCTCCATACATTTCCAAATATCCCTTAAGGTAGGGCAAAATCACCCCCAGTTGAGAATTACTGCACCAGGGGAGGTGAGCTCACTGCTCAACAGGGCCTATTTCATCTTGCAGCAGCTCCGACTGGTCTAGTGGAACTACCTCAAACAATTCTGACCTTTTCCCCACAAGAAGGTCCCTCAGCTATCCAGAGGCTGCCATATTTTCCATCTTGAGCCTCCTCTTCCCCAAGCGAAACTTCGTCTGATTCCTCACGCACCCTCCTTATGCCCCTTCTGCATTCTGACCTGTCTCCTCTGGACACTCTCAAGTTAGAATGTCTCTCTCACCGTGTGAGTCTCAGATCTAAACATTCTATCCAAGGTTTGATCTGCTCAATTCTCAAAACAGAGGACGCTCTTCCTTATCCTAGATCTTCTATTAATGAAACTGAGCACATTACATTCTCAGTTATTACCGTTGGAGACTTTGACGGGGCAGGGGAGGTACGGTTATTAGTGTGGGCTGTGGAGCCAGGCTGCCTGGACTTGAATCCTGACTCTTCCACTGACTACTAAGCAACCTTAAACAAGCTGGTCATCCTGCTCTGCCTCAGTCTTCTGATCTGAAAAATGGGGACTAATTGCTTTGTGCTTGACCACTAACCTAAAGATTGGCGGTTTGAACCCTCCCAGAAGTACCACAGAAGAAAAGTACTAGAAATCTGCTTCCATTAAGACTACAGCCAAGAAAACCCTATGAAGAAGTTCTTCTCTGTAACACATGGGGTCACCATAAGTCAGAATTGACTCAATGACAACTAACAATAGGACTTTTGTGAGAATCAGGGGCATTAATAATTACATAATGTTCAGAACAGTGATGGCATATGTTTTCAATAAATATGCTAAAATATTATCTAAAGGACATAATTTAGTCCGTGAAATATCTATATCAAATGGAGTATAACTTTATTTAAAGAATCATAACACTTACAAAAGAGGTTATGCAATTCTCTTCAATGCTGTATTTCTTAGGTAATCTAAAAATGTCACCTTTGTGAAAACAGGCAATAAAAAATGCTGACGGAGATCTGGGAAATAATGATATTAATATGACTAAGGACGCAACCTGGCACAGACCAAAGGAATTGACTTTTTTAATGATTTTTTTTTTTTTTTGAGGCCAATTCCTAGGCTCACTAAAATAAACTCTTTCATTTTTTGTTTTGTTTTGGGGATGGAGTATGGAGCTTCGGTTGTCTCTTACATAAAAAGAATGGATTGGACTAAACTTGTCTTTGCTTGTAACTCTGTAGTTCTTTCCTCTGAGATCTCGATTGATTTTCTTCATGGCCGGGTGAGGTGGGTGGAAATTACTGTGTTTCTACGTGGATGTTCTTGTCTTAGTTTATGTGACTTAGATCTCACAATTAATGGCTCATGGGAACAAGTCAAGAACGGTATCCACTGGCTCTGCTTCGTGCCTTTCCGTCTGTAGAGCCAGTTGGTACTGTTCTTGGCTTGTTCCCATGAGCCATTAATTGTGAGATCTAAGTCACATAAACTAAGACAAGAACATCCACGTAGAAACACAGTAATTTCCACCCACCTCACCCGGCCATGAAGAAAATCAATTGAGATCTAAGAGGAAAGAACTAGAGTTACAAGACAAGTTTAGTCCAATCCATTCTTTTTATGTAAGAGACAACCGAAGCTCCATACTCTGTCCCCAAAACAAAACAAAAGACACATAAAACAAAATAAAAGAAAAACTGAAGCCCAGAAAGGGGAAATGATTTGCCCAGGGCTGTACATCTGCTGGCAGAATAGAGGCAGGGCTTGGTGGGAGCTCCAGGGCAATCTTCTTTCCATTGTCATTTTACCCTCAGCTTCATCCAATGGGGTGCCTGGGTGGTACAAACTGTTTATGCACTTGACTGCTAACTGAAGGGTTGGAGGTTTCAGTCCACCCACAGGTGCCTTGGAAGAAAGGCCTGGTGACCTACTTCTGAAAAATCAGTCACTGAAAACCCTAGGTATGGAATACAGTTTTACTGTGATACACATGGGGTAGCCATGAGTCGATGTCAACTCAATGACAACTGGTTTGGCTCATCCAACACAGAAGTACAAAGGGATGGTAGAGTCTTTCAGTGAGCTGACGGAGTATGGGATTAGACTGCTCCTTTCCATTTAGAGTAGGAATCCTTAAAGTTTACAGGAGGGATCTCTTTTTCTTCAGCACTACAAGAGAGGAGTCGTATTTGAGGCCACCAACTTCCTGTGGCTTGGAGATCAGTTGATTAAGACCTGATGGTAAATACTAGAGATGATCATATCCTAGAAATTCATTGAGAAGTGTGGGTGGATTGGATTGATCAGTTGCTATCACTGATTCCAAAAAAACCCAAAAAACCCTGATCTCTCATTATCTAACCTAGACCGAGTAAATCCTCCAATGAATGTCACAGCAGAGATTGAAGGAACTTGTCTCTCTATCCAATGGGAGAAACCAGTTTCTGCATTTCCAATCCACTGCTTTCATTATGAAGTTAAGATTTACAACATAAGGAAGGATTATGTTCAGGTAACTCTTCAGATCATGTCAATGTTCAATGATATGCATTCTCTTAGAAGCATTTAAAAAATAATCTTCAGTGACAGCTCTGGCTACAGCTTGGTACTAAAAAGGTCAAAGTTAATGCACATCTACCTAGTTGTTAAGGAAATAAACCAAACATTACTGGCCTTTTCTCTTGAAATGACATACTTTTGGGTGGAAATAATGTGAAGGATTCAGATAAAAACCCATTAGCACTAATGGACAATAAGTGTAAGAGGAAAAGAACTGAGAAGACAGCCAGCATTTATTGAACACCAACTATATGTCAAACTTTATTATATTAGTTTTTTCCACCCCCACAGTAATTCCATTATATAATTATCATTTCCATTTTACAGGTCCCGAAAACTAAAAAACAGGGCTGATTAAGTAACTTGCCCAGAGTCACAAAGCTAGAAAAAATACAAAAGTCAGGATTCAAACTCAGGGCTCTTAGACATCAACACTCATGTCTTACTGATAGTAGGCAGAGCAAATTCAATTCCGTTCAACAAATATTTAATGAATTGGCTATTTTGTGGCCAGAGTTGGGAGCTATAAAGATAAATAAGATACTGTTTCTGCTATTGAGGGGCCCAGTTTAGTGGACATGCCCACCTGCCTCAGAGTTGCTCTCCCACATTAAAGACCAATGGAGGCACAAAGGAGGGCGTGGGCAAAGCAGCCTGTTGGGGGGCTCTATAGAGTGGAATTGTGTAGAATCTTGAAGGATGAATAGAAAGTTGCCTTGCTAGAGAACAGGGGAAGGACGTTCCCAGCCAATGCTTCTCCAACTGCCTGTGGTGAAGAACTGGGTTTGTTTAAATATCTAATCCATTATGCATTGGTAATTTTGTAAAATATAATGAAAATGATTTGTTAGAAAAACGAAATATAACCAAAGACATGTAAAATGCAAGCCCACTGATCATGTGCTTGGATGTCCTGGTGATGTCAAATTGCTAGAAACATTTCTAAATTGTAGTTTCAATTTCTGTACTTATCTTGCCACAGACCAGTAATACACATTCCTGACCTCTACCAGTCCGGTTACCGTACTGTGAGTGGCAGGGGTCTAAGAGAGCATGATTCCTTGAGCCAAATGGTCAACATGGGTATAACTCTAGGCCATACACCCCAACTTCTCCCAGAGTGAACTTGTAAGATTTTGTCAGAAAAAGAAATGGATTTCCTTTTGAAAAACCATGGCCATAGGCATGAAAGCCATTGAAGGGTTTTAAGCAATAGGGAAATATGACCACATCTTCAGAATTGAAGGAACAATTTTGGTAGAAGTACAAAAGCTGGATGTGGGTGAGGAGGGGCATGAGGACACAGGGATGTCTGTTAATGGCTACTATAATAGCCCAAGCAAAAGATGACAAGAGCCCCTGGGATGGGGATAAGTAAAGGAGGGAGACACACACCCAGGAGGTATGTAAGATGCAGGTGTCAGGGACACATCCCTGGTTTGGGATACAGGGGGTTGGCTGGATGGTGGTGCTACTGGCCAGTACAGGGAATAGAGGAGAAGGGCCTATTTGTGAGAAAACATCCTTGCTTCAGTGCTGGACAATTTTATCCTAAGTTATCTGTGGCCAGCTAGCATTGACTAAGCATATATTATTAAGTTGTACCATCCAAATTGCTGTTTTTGCAGATCAAAATATCGAATATTGGCAGTTTTCCATAGGATTCAACCTAATATATCCTTAAGTTTGAGACTTACAATGGTATTTTCGTTTAGCTCAATAATCCATGGGTTAGATATTGTTGTCCTGTTTTACAGATGGGAAAACTGAAGCTCAGAGAGGTCAAGGAACTTGTCATGCAGTTAGTTGGAAGTAGAGCTAGGATTCCAACCCTGCCCTTCTGAGATTCAAAGTCTGTGCTCTTTCCATTTCCCATGCTGCCCCTGCACCACTCCCCCGCTTCTGGTTGTTTGAGACATTCCTGTATCTCAGGGGTCAGCAAATTTTTTTTTTAAGGGGCCAGATATGAAGTATTTTAGACTTTGTAGGCTTTTTGGTTTCTGTTGCAACTACTCGACTTCGCCATTGCAGAGGGAAAGCAGCTATAGACAATATGTAAATTAATGGGCATGGTTGTGTTCCAATAATACTTTATTGTGGACACTGAAATTTGAATTCCATGCCATTTTCATGTGTCGTGAAATATTATTCTTCTTTCGATTTTCTTCCAACCATTTAAAAACATAAAAACCATTCTTAGCTTACAGACCCTATAAAAACAGGCAGTAGGCGTGATTTGGCCTGCAGACCGTGGTTTACAACCTGTGCTGAATATGATGGGAACCATGTGATATTCTTTAGTTAATATGACTAGAAAAAATGGAGGGACAAGGTGAGGGGGATGCTATGCTCTGCTAACTGCCACTCCAGTCTGTCAGTCTGGAAACTTCAGTCCCACCCAGATAGTCTATCTGTGCCTTACAATTGACCAGTGTATCTGTTTTGGTCACAGAATAGCTTTTCTCTGAAGGGTGACTGTCAACACATCTGTATTGAAACAGTCTAGAATAAACAGATCAATATGTGTCTTACTGATTTTAAATTGATCGCTGAACAGTGAGTCATATTTCCGTTAGAGGACATCCCATTCTGATCATTGGCATAATGTAAAATGTGTGTCTAGAGATTCTTATAATGCTAATCTTTCCCCATTTAGATAGAAAAAATGATGATCAATTCCTTCATCTCGGTAATTGACGATATCTCTAAGTATTCAGTTCAAGTGAGAGCAGCAGTGGGCTCTCTGTGCAGGGAAATGGGACACTGGAGTGAGTGGAGTCAACCTATTTATGTGGGTGAGTATCTTATGCTTATTTTAAGGCAAGCTACCTTGATGTGGTTGTTGTTGGGTGCTGTCAAATCAATTCCACCTCATGGCGACCCCATGTGTTACAGAGCAGAACTTTTCCATAGGGTTTTCTTGCCTGTAATCTTAACAGAAGAAAATTGCCAGGACTTTCTTTCGTGACACCACTGGGTGGGTTGGAATTGCCAAGTTTTAGGTTAACAGTCGAGTGCAAACCATTTGCACTACCTAGGGACAAGCTACTTTACTGAGGATTAAAGCAGATAATCCTGGAAAGTATGCACATTCAATTACAGGTCTCGAAATGGTTTCCCATCTCTTCTCTGCCTCATCTTCTGTAGAGCTACTGCCTTTTCAGCCTTGACAGAGACCCAATTACCTGGAAGCCAGTGAAGCACCTAAGCCTCTCACTAGCACCAGCCCTTCCAAGGCCCTGTACCCAGTTTTTTTGCCCCAGATGTTCTGTTTCTACTTCTATCCAATTTTTAAAAATTAAACTTTTTTTGGACATAATTGTAAAGTCACATGCTGTTGTAAGAAATGATACAAAGAGATCTCATATACCCTTTACCCTGTTTCGCCAAGGATAACATCTGGCAAAAGTATAAGCACAATATCATAACCAGAAAATTGACATTGATACAATCCACTAATCTTACTCAGATTTCATCAGTTTTATATGTACTGATTTGGGTGTGTGTGTGTTTATTTCTAAGCAACAGTATCACATGTAAAGTTGCCTGTGTTAACCACCACAGTCAAGATACAGAACAGCTCCATCTCCACAAGGATCCATTGTACTGTCCTTTTCTAACCACAGCCTCCACTCTCTCCCCATCTGTCCCTAACCCCTGGCAATCACTAATCTAATCTCCATCTTTGTAACTGCCCTGTACCTAATTTTGCATTCACATTCACAGTTTTCTGTTCTTAAAGAAGATTTAAAATAGTTTCTTGGACCACAAAATCTGGATCCACTTCTGGGCCTTCATATCCAACATTTCATATCCAATGTTACTACACACACAAAACAATTGGGAGTCTCCTGGGCTTTCTGTGTTGGTTCTGATACAGTTTTTGCTTATGACCAAATCGACTCGTTTATTTGTCAAGTAAGGTAATTATCCATCAGTGGGATCTGTGGAGGGCAATAAAGTACCTGGTAGTGGCTCTGGATGAAACGGCATTTCTGTCCTCACCTTGGGCCAGATGGCAGTCCCCTAGCCTGATGTGAAGGTAGAACATTCATGACCCGTGTTTGCTGTTATCTGGGTGTCTTGGGCAAGAGAACATAGGTGTTTTATGAGAGAAGGGGACGGCGTAAAAGCAGAGAGTATGTCTTGTGTGTTTGCCCCAACCATGCAGCCTGGGGATACAGACGTACGTGGTGAAGTGTTGCATTAGGTCTGCAAAAGCATGGGAGGTGAAAGGAACACTGGAATCTGACAGAAAATGCAGTTTTAATGCCAGGCTTGTCACATATTGGAGTTCCTGGGTAGTGCGAATGGTTAATGGCTCAGGTGCTAACTGAAAAGTTGAAGGTTTGAGTCTACCCATAGGTTCCTCCAATGGGGTATCCAATGCCATTTGAAGAGTGTACTTGGCAGACTTCTTTTAGTCATGTGCTAAAATTTTCTAGTATTCAATTCATTTGCATAGGCTAAGGGGTGGGTCTTCAGGAAATTTCTGGGCAGTGACCTATTAGCCCATGTGGGTATGAGTTAGATCTGACACATATCATGTAGATTTCCATGGAAGACTGGGAAAGATGAGGAAAGGTCTGGGAATGGAGAACTGTTCTTTCTAGCAAGGGAGCTGGTCGTGCTGAATTACTGAGTGTCCAAACGGGAATGTCTCTCCTAGAGCTGTGCAACACACAACTAGCACAGCTTAGGGGTTGGCCCTGATCACCCCATTGTGGCTCAGAGGAGCAGCATGAACTCTCCTGGGGAGAGAGAACTGAAAGGAGCAAAAAAGAAATTGAGAATGGACCAACTTCATAATTCTGCTGAGGCCAACCTTCCCCTTCTCCTAGGTTGATACCTCAACCTGACTAAACTGACCCAGCACACACGGGGCCTCCCTCAACAAAGCTTCATCTGCGCAAATAAAATGAACTCTACTCATTTAGAAGGAAACCAGTAGAAGAAACATTGATCAGTTCCAGGGAATTTTTAACAAGGTTATTCATTTTATTGAATCCCTGTTGCGGAGGCTTAAATTTTATTACTCCCATTCAGTGGATTTCCTTTTTAATACACTTCCTGTTAATCCCCAAAGGCACAAGTCTTGTTGGCAACAAATTATTGGTATTTCTAAATCCTACCAAATATACAGTCTCCAAGATTTTTTAATGCTGGTCCAAGGTGCCTCAGACCAACATGGCGGAGCTTGGAAACTAAGGCCAGATTCTCAGCTAAGGATTCATTTCTGCTTATGAGTGCTTGAGTTTTGAAGTATAGCAGAACGAAATGTTGCCTAGTCCTATGCCATCCTCATGATTACTGGTATGTCTGAGTCCACTGTAGTGACTGTTGTGTCAATCCATCTCATTGAGGCTTTCTTCCATTTTGTTGACCTTCTACTTTACCAAACATGATATCGTATTTTAGCAAATGGTCTTCCCTTTTGATATGTCTGTATCAGACAATATTCTGTTTGCTCTATAGGGTTTTAATTGGCTAATTTTTGGAAGTAGATCACCAGGCCTTTCTTTCTAACCTGTCTTAGTCTGTATGTTCCGCTTCCACCGATCCACCATGGATGCCCCTGCTGGTATTTGAAATACCGATGGCATAGCTACCAATTTCATAGTGACACACACGCCACAATGAATGACAGATGGGTGGGGGATGACCTAAATTAGAAATGACAAAATATAGTATTTCATAAGCTGAATAATTGAAGACTGCTCAGACAGCTGTGCTGAGAAGGACTCTCAGGCTAAACTTGGGTTGTCAGAAAAATTTATCAGCAACATCTGCCACTGGTGCAGGGGATATAGTGGTGATAGTGTGCCAGGCTTTGGCTACCCCTGACCTAGTCAGTCACACCTGACCTCTCTGGGTCTCAGTTTCACCTATAAAATGTGAGTGATGCCTTTCTTCCAGTTCCGCCATTCATGTTTTTTACACTGCCTTACCCCACCACAAAAGTGCTGAGAGTGAAATTGTGATCCATAATAAGAGTGTATTTTGAGCTTGTTTTTAATTTGTCATTCACTCTCCACTTTAGAGCTCTCTTACCATTATTATTTCCTAAATAACAGCTTCCTAGTTTGGGCCTGAGCTCATTAGAGTTTCCCCCCAGGTGTACCTCATTGCCATTATCTATGGCAAACCCCATTTCATTTACTGCCACCCTTTTCATGAAGATGAGCTGATTAATATTACCACTCACCTTATAAATCCATCGTTTCTGGAATTTACTCTCCTGCTCAGTTTAGAATCATTAGTGAATTTAATCAATGCAGACTTTCCATTTTCATCAAGATGATTAATAAACATAATAGGAAATCCAGGCTCCTCTGGGGCGTCTGGCATGGCTCTTCCTTACCCCTTGATGGGGGTAGCAATAATATGCTCAGCTTGCAGTCTATCAGGCAATTCTGCTGCTACATTCATTTCCTTTAGACACCCCTCCTCCTCTCTTACCTTGTCTTGTAAATGGCAACCGGGAGCCCTCGTCTTCTGTTTTTACCCTGAGGCTCAACTCAAATACCACCCCTTTCTTAGATATTATTAAGTCCAACCAACCCCTGTATTTTAACCTAAGGAAATAAAGGCCCAGAGATAGTAAATGGCTTAGTCAATGCCAAATGGCCAAGATGTGCTATTAAGGTATAATTTTCCCAAATAGGTGACATTATGAGCCAATTAGTGAACTAGAATGGAGTCAATTAACTAACTAACCCATTATGGCCTATGATTATTTAATAAAGAAGGAGCTACAGGATGAATAAGTTTTGATTGATGAGTTAAGGGAGGCTGGTGGGAACAAGAGGAGTCCCTTGGTGGTGCAAATGGTTAACACACTCAGCTGCTAACTAAAAGGTTGGAGTCTTTTTAGAGGTGCCTTGGAAAAAAATGCCTGGCAATCTACTTCCAAAAAATAAGCCATTGAAAAGCCTATGGAGCACATTTCTACTCTGACACACATGGGGTCGACTTGAGTCAGGGGCAACTTGATGGCTACTGGTGGAGGGGAACAGGGGTACTGCCCAGTTCCAGGTGGCCCAGTCCCTGGACAGCCAGGTAGCACTGGGGATGGCAGTTAGGAGGAGGCAGCAAGCAAGTGAACACAATTTGCCAGACCTAAACTGGTGCTGGGGCTCTCCTTCCCTAGTATTCCCAGAGCATGGAATCGTTTTGTTTTATGTTTTTAAATGGAAGTAGCAGTTTTGTTTTATCAGTACTGGTTATCAACTGCCCTTCCTCAGCTGGCTTCTCTGTCTTATCTGAAGAGCCAACTTCCCACTTCTGACATGTCTTTCTCCTTTTTCAGCTTTCTTAACTTCCTGATTCTTCTGTTCCTCCGTTACCTTTGCTGTCTCCTGTTTACCAAAACCTTTTGTTCCCTGATGCCTGGTCTTAGAGAAGATTTTTGTTTTCTGAAGTTCCTCATCTTCTCTTCTTCTCTCTCCTCCATTAAGCTCACATGCTGTATGTGAAATAAGCAATTCTGAAAATGAATTTTCCTATGGCTATGTCTTTCTCCATGGAAAATCACGTGCCACGTAGATCTATCTAGTGCCTATGTCCGGCTTGCGTCATTGTTGGTGACGGACCTTACCCACAGTCCCAGGAATTGTCCCTCAGATGAACAATTGGGTTTTGACCTGACCTCACTGAGGGCATTATCTGAAGGCTGGGATCTGTGTGATGATGGTTCTAGGTACCATTTAAAATGTATGTTTCAGAAAGATTGTTTTAGGCTTGGGGTCTGTAAGAGCACTTGCCCCAGGGGAGTAGAGCAACATTCACCAAATTT